TGTATGTCTTAGTGCTTTCATGCGTTTGTGTATGTCTTTACTTTATCCGCCGCTTATATTTATCGCCTTTTACCTTCCTGCAATTTATTTTATCGCAATGCATAAACGTGCAAAGGAAGAACCTGCGCGTAACGTAAAACTTGCGTGTATGCATTACATTTGCATCATACTCCCCGTTGATCCTTGATCCCATTCAAGTCGATCTTTTAAGATAGATCCTACCCATAGGAGGACCTTTGTCTCTTATTTTACAACTTAGACAAAAACAAATCAACTCAATCAAACATTATTCAAACATATTAGAGAATAAGATGTTAATCATCTTAAGCGAGACAAAACTCCTACCTCATAAAAATTCAATCAATATGTAGGGACTTTGCCGCCTAAGAGAAATAGAGGCGTACTTGTTGACAATCCGAGTACTTGAGCCCTTCTCTTAAGACGGTGCAAAGAATATTTTCCTACAAATTTGTGGTGGTTAAATCAAGTAATCTCCCTTAAAATGACAACTCGTCTTTTCTCCTAAAACCATTCAATCAACTACCTTTATCCCGTAGGAACTTTGACCACAGTCAAAGAGTTTCTTAAACCCTTTAGGGGAACTAAAAATACTCTGATTCCACTTCCGTCAGGATATGTAGGCACAAGATGCGATATCTTGTCGAGTATACTTAGAAATAGACCCCTAGGTCTTTCATCCTTAAGCAGATAACCCTTAGCAATAAACAACATAAAACAAGAGGTTCCTGTAGAGTACTACAGAAACTTAGGATGCTAGCACCTTCCCTAAGTTTAACCAACTCCTGAACCCATAACTCTCTAACTTTTGCATTTGCATAGCATTGTGGGTAATTCAATATTTTTCCCTTCCTTTGGACAAATAAAAGACCGGTTGTAATGAATTAAGATTCAAGCTCATCAACAGCTTGGTATCCGAATTTCACCGCGACAGGAATGACGACTTCACTAGGGAAATTTTTCAGTAGGTTTCCCTAACTTGTTTATTATGTTGTTTATATTTGCTTAACTGCTTATTTGTATATTTTTTTTATTGCTGTTTGGGTTGATTTACTTGAGCGCTGAGACAAAGTCCTACACCAGGACTTGAGTGAACTTAAGATAGGATAGTGATATATTCAACGAGGCTTATAAAGAGTTGAATCCCGACCAAGTTGACTTGAGAATCACGCTTAATTGAGGCCCTCTCGAAAACTTTACTATTGAACGAGTTTAATCGTGAAAACATACACTATTTTCGACTTTGGAACCTATGATATTGAGGACTGTAGTTACCTTAACCCCACTTTGGCCTTTATTAAGATATAGTGCGAGGACTATGAGGGAGTACTCTCAAAATAGTTTCTACGCGATGCTACACTCAAAAGAGGTTCTCTTGAGAATATTATTAATCACCGAGTAATTGGGAAATTGATAATATCCGAAAGATGTAATAATGACTTTGGGAACCTTCTTAGAACCTTGTTCTGCAGGTACAATCAACCTTTAGTCCACATCCTTTGGGAATGGGTATACCCTTCGGCTTCATGCTCGTTGCAAACCTAGGTCCCCCCTTGTTCGTTTATCTTTGTGTCTCTATGTGCTTACCTGTGTTTGTTGCATCCATAAAGCATCATATTACATCGGTTTCACGAAACTCCGAGTTTATTTGTAAACATTATAGAACCAATAGGGATTACAAAAGAAAATATTTTTGAAATATTCTTTTAAGAGTCCTAACCTGGATGACCTAAGGAAGTTAAAAGCTCCCATCGAAGATCAATAGAAGTTCAAAAGACTTTCATCAATATTGAAGATCCAAATAAACAAGGGATTCCTTCCTTATTTTCCAGCAAAGAAAAGAAGAGAGATGGAAGATTTATTTTCCTCTATCAGAATATTCCTTAGAAGCTGATCGTGAGCAACTTATATTCAAGAAAGTCCAGATAGAAGAGCAAATCAACAAGCACGATGAAGGATTTCCTTAGGACTTTATCAACTTTTATTTAGCTACTAGGTCAGGACTCTTATAAGAATGTTTATTTGTAATCGATATCAAAAAATAATAAACGAATTTTCTTTGGGTAGTCTGTGACGTTTATAAATACTTGAGTTCCATGAAACCTTTCGTTTTGCATTCCTGCATTTGCATTTCGCATTTTCATCAGCATAACGTCCTTTGCATTCTAGGGTCTCACTCTTGCTTCATCTCCACAGACAAGCTGAATCACCAATACAATACTCGCGCCAGTCAATGTCAAAAGATGGATCAACTTGAACAAGAGAACAAGGTGCTCCGTGATGAGGTTGCAATACTGAAAGAAATCTTGGAGAAACTAAATGGTTTAGTTGAAGCTTTGTCCAACCAGTCTACGCTCAACAATCAGGATGTTCATAGGACTGTTATCTCTGAAGTTGTGTCAGCACCGATCCCAGTGGTGTCTACTGTTGCTGAAGTAACCTACAACATGCCGCCAGGTTTTCTGTGGAGGATGCCTCCTCATTTCACTCCCGCTGGCTATCACCCACCTGTTCCTGAGGTCCATACCATGACCACTGCTCAATTCGTCCGTGCCACTGCTGCCGTAATGACCATTGCACCATCGTATGTGAATGCTACTCCGTATGTCCTAGACGAACCGATTTTCCCTGAGTCACCGAGTGAAACTGCGGGGTTTGAAGAGAGAATGGATGGATTTCAAGACCAATTCTCTGAAATTTAGAAAGAATTGAAAGCTCTTCGTGGGAAGGAATTGTTCGGCAAAAGTGCCTTTGACTTGTGCTTGGTCCCAAATGTCAAGGTCCCGCCGAAGTTTAAGGTCCCTGATTTTGAGAAGTACAAATGAAATACTTGCCCTCAAAGTCATCTTATCATGTATGCTAGAAAGATGTCTGCACAAACTGACAACGACCAATTGCTCATTCATTACTTCCAAGACAGTCTAACAGGCGATGTACTCAAGTGGTATATGGGGTTGGATAGTGCGAAGATTCGAACTTTCAATGATTTGGGTGGAGCCTTCATTAAACAATACAAATATAATTTGGACATGGCTCCTGACCGTGATCAGTTGAGGGCCATGGCTCAGAAAGACAAAGAGAACTTTAAGGAATATGCTCAACGTTGGCGCGAGTTAGCCGCGCAAGTCATACTGCCATTAGAAGAAAAGGAAATGACCAAGACTTTTCTGAAGACTCTATGTCCGTTCTTTTATGAGAAGATGGTAGCAAGTGTGTCCAGTGACTTCACTGAGATGGTAAACATGGGCATGCGTTTGGAAGAGGGGATTCGAGAAGGAAGGTTAGTCAAGGAAGGAAGTGCTCCTAACAATGTTAAAAAGTATGGGAGTGGTTTTGTGAGGAAGAAAGAATATGATGTAAGTGTTGTGCCGCAAGGAAGATCCAAGAAAGGGTATCCACCGTCACGTCAGGTTGTTGCGGTATCACCTGTATTCAACACTCCAGCTTATCAACCACAGCATGAACAAAATCAACAAAACCGACCATTCAACAACCAAGGTCGTGTACACAGAAGAATAGACTTTAATCCCATCCCTATGACGTACGCCGATTTGTTCCCAGTTTTGATCCACAAAGGTCACATTCAGACAAGAGCTCCACCTGAGGTACCCAAAAAACTTCCATACTTGTACAAAGCTGACAAATTTTTCCCATACCATCAAGGTGCTCCAGGCCACGATACTGAGAACTGCTATGGTTTGAAGGCAGACGTTCAAAGGTTGGTTAAGTGCGGAATCTTATCCTTCAGAGATTCCAATCCTAACGTACAGGATAATCCTTTACCTCAGCATGGTTCGTCCTCCGCGAACATGATCCAAGGTTATTTGGGAAGCTCATGTCAATATAGTGCCTGAAGATGAATATGAAGGCTACATATCATACGATTCTGCAAGCCACTCCATTCCATACAAAGACTGAATAAAATTCTGAGAAGGGCTCATCAGGGTGTTTTCTTTTCGTTTGCTTATGTGTATTTCATTTCTTTGATTAAAAGCATAATTGGCTTGTAAGAACTTGTTATTTTGAATAATTAATGCAATAAAATGTTTATCTTGAAGAAATCCATTCATATTCACTCGTAAAATACTCTTCATAATTTATAATGCCGACTTTACCCGATCTCTTGCTCTGATAGAGAATTGGGGGGAGGATGATGAAGTAAAACGCAGAATCTCTTGTTGTATGCTTTTGAATAAAAACCCTACTGATGATGTAAGACATTGTTTCAAACCTCCTAAACACCAGAAATATTTAACCTTTTGAGCCTTGATGAAAGATCTTTCGTTTCTTAAATCGAAACCTCGTTTTTAACCTGGGGCTGATAATGCAATAATATAAAAAAAAAATTTAAAATTTAATAAATATTTCACAACGGTATATACAAAGGATCGTGGTGATAGACAACACGTCTAATATAATTTTTTACGCAACTGGTGAGATTCAAACTCATGACCTTGAGGCTATGTAACAACGATTGATACCAATAACTGTGGTTATAAATAGAGTGCTACCTAGTATATTACAACGGTCAGACGCCCATAGTGGTATATAACAAACTTATAATCAACCGCTACTTCACAAAAGTTAGTCACGCGTGATAGTATCTTTTTTCCAACTATTGTTGTATACGTTTTTCGCAGTAGTGACTCTTCCATTGAAAGACCTTTAAACACGAGTGAACTCTCCAAAGTAGAAAAAGACACTATAATTAACTCACTAATATAATTAAGAGTTTTTGATTATGAAGAGAATGCAAATAATTCATTTTATAAGTTTGATTATAGTTAAATATGAAATGAATATAAAGTTTAATCATGTTAGAATGCACTTAATAGAAACATAATAGAAACATGCAAACACAAACAAAAAAGGTGTAAGGAAGAAATTAATACAATGTATTGATTTCATTTATTTTATTATTTTAAGCTTAGATAGAGCAATAGCATGATCTAACTAGCTATAGCTAGATAGATAAATTGAAGTCACGCAACAGACTTAATTATTCCTGTTTCAAAGAAATTAGGAAAAAAAACAAATTGAAAAGCGTCTTTTGACTTTTGTTGAGCCAAATACAAACGGTTTCCAGCTTCAACATCATCGGTACGTTCATAACTCCCAATGTCAAAACAAGCACCAGATCCATCAGAGCAAAATCCAAATCGATATCCATCTCCATGTTTCAAAATACTAAATGTGCCATCAACTATTTTCGAATTATGATAGTTTCCAGAACCACCAATACCAACACAATCTTTTTTAATATCGTTATCAACAAACACTATCCATTTTGATGAATCAGTGCAATGAGGCTTCTCAGAAGCTTCAATCTCAAGTGGCGTACTTGTGAGGATTTTTTCAGAACTGTTTTTTAAATTGGTAACTTTAAAAGTTGTTCCAAAGGTAGATGCTAAGGAACTTTGTAGGATAGTAACTCTACAGTTGGAATTACTGATTTTTTCTAGTTGTAATCCACCACCAGTGCCGATGCTACTAAACGGAGGGATGATGTAGTATTCTTTACCTGCGATAACGGGTTCACCGTCTACGTCAAGTACTTCCTCAACATCGTCACATGAGAAAACTAGAGAAAGATTGGTGATGAAAACAAAGAGGAGGAAGGAAAGAGTGAGGGCGTAAACAAGCTTCATGATTAAGCAATGCTATATTTGGTTGTGTTTTGTGAATTACATGTGCCTCTATATATAATGTTATGATACTCTTGATGTGGTTCACAATTCACAAACGTCGATACCTATTGCTTCACAATAATATTATATATTTTTATTAAGAAAGTTTGCATGCATTCCACGAGGAGCCCAATCATTAAGCTTTCTTACACTATACAGCTGTTACCTTGTACTAGTACGAACAAATATCATAAAAGTGTACTGTTTTATTGGTGTGGATGGTAAAGCTTCCATTACTATTCGAAGAAAAATATTTGAAAATTGTTATTTTGAGATTAATTTCTACACCTATATTATATGTTTAGGTTACTGTAAACATTTCTTTAATACAATTTATGGTTTGATTAATATGTATTTTGGACATTAATAAATAGTTTTAAGTAAAAAATCAAAGTTGTTTAATTGAATGTTATAAGTTAATTAATATAGTTTATAATTTAGTTATTGGATACGCTGACATCAAAAACTAAATCTTACATGGTAAATCAGTTTATAAGATTAGTTAATTAGTACAGTGTAGAACTTGGTTAATGACACAACTAAAAATACACAGATTACCTGCGGAATTTCCTGCGGAAACCTTTCCGCAGCTATACCTGCAAATACACCTGCGCCTTTATATTGTGAAACATTATTTCCTACGAAAAATCTGATAGCAGCAAATTTCGCAGAAATTCCAGAGACATTAGCTGCGATACAAGATACAAAAATAAGATATAATTTTCCTGCGAATTTAGCTGCGATTTCCTTCGCAGGACTTAGTTATCCATGAAAACCACAAAATTCTCTGGAAATCTTGCAGGAATTGCTGCGGAATTTGCTGTAAACGTTTCTGCAAGTTTTTTTGCGAATTGTCTAGTTTATTTTTTGTTTTTATATTTTTATGATTAATAAATAAAGTTATAAAACACATATTGATTTCAAGAATATGTTGTTGAGACATTTTTTTTAATTTTATATTAAATCTTAGTTTCTCTTAAGAAAATTTTATAATATTAATTGAGTTTTTTTAGTTATTTTTTAAAGAAAATTTATTTATTTAATACTTTTTTATTGTTGTAAAAATTAGAAAAATAAAAAATATAAGTTTATGATATAATTGATTTGTAATCCTTCAACTTATAAATTTTTTAAAATTTAAAATTTAAAAAGACTATAAAATGGTCACCGCATCGTACAATATTTTAGAAAACACAAATATGAAAATTGATTTTTGTTTAATTGAAAGTAAAAATGTCTCAACAACATATTCTTGACTTGTTAAATATTTATTTTTATTTAAAAAAATATATTAGTAGGACATACCAAGTGACATTATACTGGCATTTCAAGTAATTGGATCAATTTTTATTTATTTATGTTGTTTTTATTTTATTTTATGACCAATAACTAAAAAAATTGGACACACTAAAATCTACCTTATAGTTTACATAAAATTTAAAAGCACTAATTCCATTTAACAAACATTTTTAATCTACATAAAATTAATAATTTTATTGATAAGAATGAGCAAATATTTTTAACAACTAGTTTAAGAGAAACTAAATAGATATAAAAAATATAGCAAAAGCTCAAGCTCTTGCATATTCTATTTGTGCTATTTTACTAAATATTTTTAAGGTGAATTATGTTATTTTTTAATTTCAATTTTAATATTTTTAAAAAGATATTAATAATTTAATTTGTAATTTTTAATAAAAATCAGGAAAAATTTGAATCATCAATTAAAGTTATTGATTTCAGCCCAGACCCAGGCCCATATCCAAAGGGTTTCTTCCCTTCTTTCACAAATTATGACAAAACAGAGCCACCAAGCCACCGTCGATGGTCCGCACCTGCCAGCCGCACGTTCACCCTTTCTGTCATCTTACTTCAAGATTTCCACTTCCCATCGTCCTATTCAGTATTCATCACAGGTTAATTTCACCATTCATCTTTATTTCATTTCCTCAATTCATATCAAATTGGAGTTTATATTTATTATCCTGCTCTTAGATTTGCTTAATTTCATCTTAATTCACACGTAAAATAATTTGCTTAAATATAAAGTGGAGTTTACATTTATTTTCTAGCTTTTTTTTGTTGATTTGTGTTATTGTCATGATTGATTGATTGATGCAGTAGTTTTATGACTTCTAACTGTTTGATGAAATGTACTAGCTGAAGACACTAAATGTAAATGGTCTTGTTCTTGTTTTTTACACACTGAGTTACACACTGAGTCTACTCACTTGTCTCCTCGTCTCCATTTTCTACCAGTTGCTCGAGAATCGTCGTATTCGCCTCAAGTTGTTGGCTTCCGGAAAGCCGTTTCTGGCACAGATCGAGGCGCCTCTTCTTCGACGGACGTTTGTTGGAAGTGGAGCTAAATTAGGCGTGAGAGTCGCCTGAGCAGTTCTGTTCGGGTTAAGCTCGGCGATCGAGTATTTCTTGATGTTATCTGTTATGTCGTATAATGGTGGCGTGTTTATCGCTATTTTTCTACTGTTTTAAGTTAGATCTGTTGCAAATGGGAATTTGAGACAGGGTGTTTATGCTATGTTGTGTAAGTTTATGCAGTTATTGTAATTTACTAATTATTGAGGAGGGTCCGATTACTGTAGCACCCCCAGAAATAAAGAACTTGAACAGGCGGCTAGACAATTAGCTATATCTGTAAATTATGTTGGGGAAGCTACCATTGACTAGCGAGGATCTTGGTGATGGTTTCAAGCCCACAGGCGGGAAAGTGCAGGTTAACTACTAAATCCAACAGCAATTTCATCTTTAACTCATTAATCCCTTTACATATACTGAGTTAAAGATATTTTCAGGAACTCAACTTTAAAAGTAAACCAAATGTTTGGGCTTACTTCTCTGTTAAGGTAAATCTTCTATCTCATTATTTGTACTTTTAATTTGATTTGTGAGGTGCTAAATTTTGGCAATTATATGTTTGCAGTCTGGAGGAGGAATCCATGAATTTTCAGATTCTCAGTTTGGTATGCAGTAACTTTGATCCTGAAATTGCAGAATCTAGTCTATCATGTTGATATTTTTAATGTATAGATATATATTTTTTCAGCTGCTAATATCATAAGTCTTACCACAGGACATGTTTTTGCCTTTGGAGAATCAAGGACAGGTTGTGCAAAGTTTTCTCAATTTCCTTGACAGCCCTGAATTACCTTTCCTTCAATGGCAAGAATGCTTGGCAGTTCTGGCTTCCGTTGGCAAGCCTTTTTCTAAGGTAGCATTTCTCATAGCACCAATATTTTTGTGTCTAACATTGACACACGACACTGGCCTATATCCCGATAGTGTTCAGAGTGTCAGTGTTAGTATCGTGTCTGGTATTAGAGATAGCGTTGTTTGGAAATGTAGGTAGCTTTATTGACAAGTTTATTAAATGGAAAAGTGTGTATGGAATGGATATGTCCAACTGTTGCACAAGCTTATGTAAGTTTTAGTACTAAATGTTGAATTACAATATTAGTCATGGCTTATATTTGGTAAAAAAAAGAGTTAAAATGTTTTCAGATAAATTCAGTAGAAGCAACATATGGAGGAATGGTTTCAGATATTTGTGACATCATGGGAGTTACAGGGATGTCACAAACTTGTATTATCAAACTTCCATTTCATAAATTCAGCTCCTCCAACAAAATGATGAAATTATACAATGATTCATGCTGCTCCATTTGCTTCCAGGTGTTTCCCTTGAAAATCGGAAAACAACTGCTGATCTTCCAAATTTGACTTTGGTGACTCACAGGATCGATCAGATTGACCTAGGACATGTGCTAAAGTATTCTACTTTTAGAATTAAATTTAAAGTACTTGTGATAATGAATTGGTAAATGTGCCTGTAATGAAAAAAACTTTGACTGGGTATTTTAAAGTGCATAAACTTAAAGAAACACTGTAAAAGACTTGTAAAAAGGCTGCTCGAAAAGGGTAACAAGTTTAAAGGGAAGAAGGAATTGGAGTAAAAGATGCAGGAAAGGTAAAAGGAAAAATGTAACACTTGCACAAGTGGTTCGACAGAGGAAATGTAAATGTTGCTGAAATTGTAAAAGACTTTATTGAAAAGTTGGTGATTTTACATAATGTACATTCTCCGTGAAAATACTCTTTTCTCACACTCGGGTACTTTGAGTAAATTTGATTGGAGTTACTTTGTACAAATGGTAAAACACACCCCAGAAATCTGCCTAACAAATCCCTATTTATAATGCTAATAATTAACCGCTAATAACTTCCTAGTATCTCCTCGATCTAACAAGTGTCATTTGCATGTAACCTCCTGCTCTAGAATTCGCCATGTGTCTTATGAACCAAAACTCCTCCCTCCAATTTTTGAATTTCAAAACGACGTAGCAATGCCATTTGCAGAATTTCGGTCGAATGACCTCTAACACGGTAGAAATGCTCATAACTTTAGGTTTCTTAATCTTTCTAAGTTATTTCAAACGTTCAACTTTAGAAAATTCCTTAGAGGCTGTCGAAACCTCTTTGCTTCATTTAACTTAGACATTAATTATGTCTTAGTGTTTTAGCAACCCAAGGCAGTGTCGAATTTGGGAGCTAACAAATTACCCCCAAAGAATGTTCTTTTCGACCTTATTGCAGGAAAAGAATATTTTTTGATAGTATCCCATTCGACACCATCTTTTCGATACTATCAGACCCTTTAGTTTGCCTCTTATCCTTTGGAAGATAAAACAGAAGAAAGAGAAATGTTTATTAAAAACTGCGCCACTTTGTACGCTTCTGACGTCATCATCATCATGGCAGGTTTCTTGGAACTCACAAAAATTCAGAAAACATCATCACCCTTTTAGCGCCTAGGGGTATAGGTTACAACCGCCCCTTACTTCTTCCACTAGATGGCACACGTGGCCCACTAACTTCACCCACGTAAAATTCTTAATTTTCTGAACCCTTATAAAATCACCAAAGAAGTTTTCATAAGACTTTCT